CAGGAAATACAGTTTTAAAATGTACATTTTAAAAGGTAGATTTCAAATGTAAATAGAGATATGTCCTTCTAAAGAGAATTCCATTTAAATTCCAGGGCTTTAGGATCAGATACAGGAGGATCAACCAGAAATCCCGCTGCCCACTGTGGAGTTGTTGGTTTAAAACCAAGCTATGGCTTAGTTTCCCGTCACGGTCTCATTCCCCTGGTGAATTCAATGGATGTGCCAGGAATCTTAACCAGATGCGTGGATGATGCAGCAACTGTGTTGGGTATTTATATGATTCCATGTAGTTTGAAAATGTTACAATTTCACTGTAAAACAATGATGTCTGTCACTTCCAAGTATTTTTCTTTACAGGTGTACTGGCTGGGCATGACTGCAAAGATTCGACCACAGTACAAGATCCTGTTAAATCATTTATACTTCCCAGTTTGACAGATGTAAGCAAACTATGTATAGGAATTCCCAAGGTAATTCTTCCCTTTCATTACTTTACAGAAATACTGCCATGTCGCATACACAGCACAGATTTGGGAAACAGATCGGTTAGGTTTGAATCCTTGCTCTTCCTTTTATTAGCTACTAGAGGCCTGATGCATGAAAATTCGTGTAAGAGTAGGCCTTCCTTCCCTCTGGCACCCAGGACCCGGGCTGCTTCCCTCTTCCAGCCGCCCGCAGGCACCCAGGACACCAGCTTTCTTCCCTCCTCTGGCCACCTGCACGCATCTGGGACCCGGGCTGGCTTCCCTCAGGCTACTCGCAGGCACCCGGAACCCAGGCTGGCTTCCCTCCAGCCCTGGCTTCATCAGGAAGGACATCTGGAATGATGTCCAGAAAACATCTGGTCCAATTAGCATATTACCCTTTTATTATTACAGACTAGAGGCCCGGTGCACAAAAATTTGTGCCCTCGGGGAGGGGGGGTTCCCTCAGCCCGGCCTGTGCCCTCTCGCAATCTGGGACCCCTTGGGGGATGTCCGACTGCTGGCTTAGGCCCACAGTCGGACATCCTTCTCGCACTCTGGGACTGCTCCTAAAAATATCATTCAGGGGGAGGGTCGGGTGGGGGTCCCCACTGGGGTGCCTGGCCAGTCTGGGTGAGCGGATGAGGGCCGTTTTCAGGCTGGCCAGCGACTGAAGCTCCCAACCTCTCTCTTTTTTTTTTATTCTGGGATTTATTTACGATATATAATTGAAACATTGTTGCAGTCACTGGAGCTGAGAGCCAGCTTCAGCTCTGAGGCCACGGCCAGCTGAAAGCAGGTATCTGGGGTTTGTTTAGCTTCTGTAATTGAAACTCTGTTGCTTTCGGAGCTCAGAGCTGGGCCGCGACAGGTGGGGAACCTTGGCTTCCTCCATCACTGGAGCAAGCAAGCCTCATGCTTGCTTCAACTGCGTGGCTGCCAGCCACCAGCTGCCATCTTTGCTGGCAGTTAATTTGCATATCACCCTGATTAGCCAATGTATAAAAGTAAAACATGCTTATCTCCCATTAGCCATAGTGGAGGTATGGTCAATTACCCGTTTTGTCTTTTATTAGATTAGATGTGTAACCTGAGCACACATGGTTTAATCTCTCTAAGCTCAATTTCCCAATCTGTGAAATGGGGATAATAACTATGATTTCAGAGAATGGTGAAGTTTGAATTAGATAATCATCATAGGGATATAATACAGAGCATGGCGACTATCTATAATAATAAATGCATAATATGCTAATTAGACCAGATGAAGCTGGGGCTGGGGCTGTGAGGGAAGCCTGGGTCCCGGGTGCCTGCTAGCGGCCAGAGGGAAGCTGTTGCCAGCAGCCGGGAGAAAGAAGGCCTACTCTTGCACGAATTTCATGCATCAGGCCTCTAGTAGTTAATAATACTATATAGCATGCTTGAAAGTTGCGAAGAGAGTAGATCTTTAACGTTCTAATCACAAGCAAAAAAAAACTATGGTGACAGATGATAACTAGACCTATTGTGGTGATCATTTCTTAATACATTTCTTAAATATCAAATCATGATGTACACCTGAAACTAATGTAACATTATGTTGTAAACTATTAAACCCCAATAAAAAGAATTAGATAATCATGTTAACACATTGCAGACCAGTGGCCAGGTAAGTTTCTATTGAACGAGTACAAAAAACGTTTTATATAATGTTAAAGGCACGCTTTAAAATTAAATACCCATTGAATTTTGAAGTTATTTATTACATGTTCTTACAAGCTAATATCTTTTTAAAGTATGATACTTTGTAAAACACTGTGTAATATGAAGCAAGAATTCTCGTGATCTGTCTGCAGTGTGTTAAGCAAGGGTCTATAAGATTTTTCTATAAAGTATCAGTTAGTAAATATTTTAGGCTTTGTGGGCCATGCAGTTTGTCATAACTACTTAACTCTGCCACTGTAGTAGTGTGAAAGCAGCCATAGCGGTATGTAAGCAAAGGAGTGTGGCTGTGTTCTAATAAAATTTTATTTTCAAAAATAGCTATCAAGTCACATCTGACTGATGGACCTAATTTATTAATCCCTGATGTAAAGCGCATAGCCCAAGATATACTTTGCATAGTAAAGGATCAATAAATGTCACTGACATTACTATTATTAGTATTACTACTATATTTATTATGGTAGCAATTAAGTAATCCATACACGAAAGTAAATATATTGAATTACTGACCTTTAAGCTTAGCAGTGTAAAACACTGAATCCTCACCCAAGGATATGTTTATTGATTTTAGAGAGAAAGGAAGGGAGGTAATAAGAAAGACAAAGAAACATCAATGTGAGAGAGACATTAATCAGTTGCCTCCCATACATGCCCCAGCCCAGAATCTAACCCACAACCTAGGTATGTGCCTGGACTGGGATCAAACTCCCAACCTCTTTGGTGTATAGGATGACACTCCTACTAACTGAGCCACCCAGCCAGGGCAACAGTAATTTTTTGGATAATTTTTTGTTGTGGGAGACTGTCCTATATATTGTAAGATGTTTAGCAGCATCACTGCCTCTACTTCTATAGGTAGCACCCCCACCATACTACAGTCCCACAACCAAGTATGTTGCAGATACTACCAATGTCCCCGCTTGACAGGAAGAGGATAAACTTCCCCAGTTGA